GTTTTCATATTCATTATGAGTGAGAAATCATAATAATTTTAAAAAAGTTCTTAGTGTAGGGAAATATAATGATAAAAAATAGAAAAAATCAATCTAAATAACATTATGGGTTGGTATTTATCAATTTCTTACGTTTTCAGTTATAAAAATGGCAGTAAATTCATTAAATATTGGTTGGGTAACTTTTTTTTATGAATCAGCCCTTTTTTCTCACTACTTTTGGCGATTTGCTCGAAAAAATAAAAAAAACGATTTTTTTCAAAAACTGTCCTTTGACGACTCCTACTGGTGAACCAATGCGAGTTACAAAAAAAACTCAAAAGCAATTTTAAAGAGCGTGAAATTCCTCATAAGGTGTATTAAACCGATTTGCAATATTGTCAAAGGTGGGTAAGCATTAGAAATTTGAAAAAATATATATATTTTTTACATGCATTTTAAACGGTAAAACTTTAAATTTAAATAGTAAGTGCTTAAAATTAATATTAAGAGCTCAAACTTGGTGAGAATGTTTTTTCCTATATGCAGATTAATATTTTGCTTGAGCACCGAAAAAAAACAAAAACTTTGCGGAAATGAATCACCCTAATACACATATATGGATATGCTCGAACAAACAAACTTCTGAAAATTTCTATTTCTTCTCCTTTCATTGTAGAAATACTCTTCTTTGTATCATTTGAGAAGGTGTATTACAAATGATAGACATTAAAAAGATAATTAATAGATTTTTCCAAATTAATCCCATTAAGAACCAAGATTAATTACTTGTAGAACAACGTAGGATACAAGAAGCTACTTTCAATAACTGTTATTATGTTTTCTGCTCTTGCAGCATGCTGTATTTGATTTTATATTAATTATAGATTTTATTGCGTTTGGTTTTGTGGGTTGTAAAGATGTCTTAAGTTATGATCATCTTTTAAGTCGTATTGGTTAATTTACTTTTACAAAAACTCCGCAATGCGAAATGATTACCATCGTGATGGTATTGTTTACTATAAATAAGGAAGGAAAAAGTTTTATGATTACTTTACTCATTAGTTTTTCTCTATGATTTACTGCCAATTAAAATGAGCTAAAATAATTTATTTGTGTCCAAAAAACACGATAAACGCTTGGTTCTCGAAATAGGACATTGAGGTAATTTATGTGTAGTCCCTTAATTCAAGTTATTAAATTAACCTAAAGGTATATACGAGGGCATATTGATAATTCCTTAGCATGAAAATGCAATATTTCGAGCCAAATTAAGTCATCATCTTCTTCATTCCATTATAATACAACTATTGTTTTTTGTGGTCAAAATCTATAGCGCATTTATGGCATATCTTCAGTTTTGGAAAAAGGAAAAAGTCACAGGGGGCCAAATCCGAAAAATACGGAGAGTGCAGTGGCAATTCCTAGCCAAATTTCTTGATTTTTTCAATGGGTACAGCGGCTTTGTTCGCGGGGGAATTCTCTTGTCAACGAGATTTTTGTCTATAATTATAATTATAATAATAAAAATAATAATAAAAAATAATAATAAAAAAACAATAAAAAACAAACGATTACGATTGTAAACATTGCCGACTACCGAAAACTATCTATTGATAGTTCTCAACCTCTAGACTGAAGATATGGTTTCGCACAGTGGGGCAAACAATTTGTCCAAATTATTTGACAACTTTGCATTACTTTGGAATAAAAATGAAAACTATTAAAAACTATCGATAACTATCGGTTACTAAACCCCATTTATAAACCCGAATTGAATGGGGGTATTACTAAATCCCTGGTTAAGGGGATTCCTGATTGTACTTTGTTTTGGGTCGGTCTAATGCCTAGACCGTTTGGTCCAGGGTCTAATGTCCACCAAAAACTAAAATATTTTCCGTCCTTGTCCCGCACTCAACTAACCTAAATCGGGCGTATGGCCCGGCCCGGCGACAAAATTCCGGGATGGCAACCATCGAAACTGTCATCCACGACCTCCTGAGATAGATTTACCAGCCGGGGTGAAAATTTGTATCCATTAAACACATATAATGCTGTGCAGTTGCGGGATACGTACACAGAAAAAAAGGTTTAGTTAGCCCAACTATTATTTGTTTCATTTAACTAAATATGTTGTTTCAATAGAGCCAACCAAACATTTAGTTATTTTAACAACCTCATTTGGTTATATTTTACAACTATATATTTGGTTGAAACAAACATTTATATAGTTCAAGTGACCTTTACCTACCAGTCCAATGTACTAAATACATTTGGTTGAATTGACTAAATATAATTTGTTACCCTAACTAGGTTAACGGCTTGGTACAACTTACCCATATCGGCGCATTTATATACCTAACAATAAAAATAAGATCTTGAAATGTTTGGAGTAGAAACATTTTTTTAAGCCATTTTCTTATATTCTTAAAAAAACAGGAAGTTCCTTGACGCATTACTAGTATAATACCAGAGGTATTATTCCAGATAATTAAACCTTCACCTCGCTAGAGATAATGTTTTAGTGCGTTCCACCAACTTAATAAAATACTTCAAGTATTGACAGCTGTTTCCACCTATTCAAGGTCTCTTTGGTATCAAACAACTTGTAGTGTCACACCAAAGCAAAGAAGTACCTCACCTTATATACTCTTCATGTAAGTCAACAGAGGCGAGATTTAAGAACATCACGCTATCCACACCGCCTTTGCCGCGATCGGTACATAATATGCAACCAGGAATGCACGGCAAATGTTTTAATCATTTTAACAGAGTGCTTAAGGTTGAAGTAACTCTTATTTTACAAACAACATATTTAGTAAACTGAACCATACAATTTAACCAATTTAGAAAAATAAAATGACTATCTGGTTTAGTACCGTCCAACTAATCTTTGTTTATATTAACCTTCCCACGGTTGATTTAAATAAATATGGGTCAACTAAATTAATATAGTTAAATTAACCATTCCTTTTTTTCTGTGTATGAGAACTAAAAGTTGGTAAAAATAACTCTGGGAGATCAGTGTAAGGCGATGCCGATGGGGCCAGCCATAAGTTGTTATACTCATACTCATACGGCGACCGAGCTCTCGAAGAAGGCAGACGTTTACAAAAGCGCTTTACATGTGCAAAAGAAAACATCGCACAGGCTTTGGATGGATACAAACAGATAAGTACTAGAGCTTAAAATCGCGACCCAAAATAAACAAACGTCACAAAACGCAGTAGATCGCAGTCATGGTAAACAGACTGAGAGGATTAGTGACAAATTAACAATCTTTGAACAATGAGGTAAAATTTTTCCTACATTTTCAGCTTAGTAAAATAACGACTGGCGGTAAAGGGCTGCATCTTCTTTGAAGTCAGTACTTAAAAGGAGCAGCTAAATTAGTCGATACTGAAGAAGAGTAATGGGTGGGCCATTTATAAGTTGAATTTTAAACTACGTGCTATTAATGAACCTTGAATTGCTGACAGTGGTTTAGTTTTAACCTTCCGATTACAAAATATGCACCGAATAAATTTGGATCAACGTTTCGAAATACTCAAAACTTACTTTGAATGTGACTGTGATGGCAGAGACGGCAAGAAAATTGCGTTTGGAAGAAATGAGGCGCCGTCAAACCAAAGTATTACAAATTTGATCAAAAAATTGCGCAGAAATGGAATGCTGGTGGACATAAAACATGTTTCGCATGCTCGTCCTAGACGTACACCTGAAGCAATCGCTGCTGTGGCCGAAAATGTACGCATGAACGCATCAACATCAACTCGGCGCAGATGTCAACAACTCGGCCTTTCCCGTACCACTCTGAGGATGATTCTGCACAAAGACCTCGGTATGTTTGCGTACAAAGTCCAGCTTGTTCAGGAGTTAAAGCAAGTTGACCATCCACAACGTTTTCGCTTTGCTGAGTGGGCTTTAAACCAGTTGAACGATGACCCTAATTTTGCAAGAAAAATCTTCTTTTCGGATAAGGCGCATTTTTACCTCGGAGGTTATGTCAACAAGCAAAACTGTAGGATTTGGGCCACGGAAAATCCACAGGTCGCCGTAATAAAGCCTATTTACCATTTAAAACAAAACATTTAAGCTCAAATTGCCTGAATAGAGCAGCAAACTTTTGACAAAGTGCTCGAAAATTGGTGTTCCAGGATGGGCTACTGCCGAGCCAGCTGAGGTGGCCACTTAAATAAAATTATTTTCCATACTTAATCGGAAGAAACATTGTATGAAAAAAGCAAAATTGGTTGAAAAAATATCAGTTTTTCTTGTTCTCATTGCTATTTTATAATTCAACATAAACATGGCCCACCCTTTATATCTGCTTTCTTCTTAGCCTATTAAACAAGGACTGGCTGAATACGGCCAAATCTCCTTTGAAGTCAGTACTTAAAATGGAATTTTCCTTGAAGCCGACTACCAAATTTTCAAAAATGCAAAAGTTGCTCGAGACGAAGGTTTGTAAAATTAAAACTGTTGACAGATTGATCTGAAATTTTGAAAGTAGGGACTTATCAATATGCCCTCGTACGTTGGCGTTTGAAGTAATGGATTCTGCTACTGGTTTTAATATATTTATTAATATGGAGATCTGATTTAAATAAAGATCATAGGCGTAGCCGCGCGTATGGATGTTTGTCGAAGGGGAAAAACGGTGCGGCTTACCTCATGTTTATTATAATAATCGCGATATTTAAGGCGACCGCAAGTAGTTGTTCGATTTGACATTTACAATGGTTTGGTTTTCCACCGGTCCGTTTTTGCACTCTTTGTTCCATTTTGTGTGTAAAATGTTTCCTTCGGTGCACTACATTTCTTCACGAGGAAGTTGTTAACTATTTATGTTGGATGTTTTTACATGGACGCATTGAAAATTTATGATATCAAGATCTCGGGATTCTTGTACGTACTTTTATTCGGATTTGAATTGTGATGTGCTGAATTTATAATGCTATCGGTCAGATTTCTGTATGATATGATATATTCTGCTCCATGGAAAAATGCTGGCTACTTACTTATCTTGAAAAACTCCGGCAACATCTTTCTTACAAATGCACAACTGAAACTGATCTTTATTTAGGCATTTATAGATAATCTATGTGAGAAATAGTTTCTACTAAATTTGACTAAATTAATTTAAGCTTTGTCTATAATTATAGCTTATTATTATAATATAAGCATTAAAGTTATAAATTTAAATATAAATACTTTATTAAGATGCAAATTAACATTCCTTTGCGGTGCTAACTGCCAATAAAGTATGAAGAGTTGATGTAAAGAAGCAACGCATCCAAGAAAAACTTACATGTAAGTTTTCTAGGTATGCACAATGGATCAATAAATTAAAATAACCTTTTTTTGGACAAGACATTGTTGTCTTAAAACTTTTAAAAATCTTTTTTCCGACTGTGTTTTCAGAAGGAATGTCATACTTTAGGACACCAATGTTTTGTTCTGTACAACTTCCCTTATGCTCTTCCTACTATTTGCATCCAAGGCATTAAAATAGCTTTTTTATTTGCCGCTGTTCTAATACGTTAAGGCCTTAAGATATTGGCCCAATATACGTAATAATATTGGGCCAATATATCTTTCGTCAGATTTGTTCTAGCACACAGTAAAAAATTTTGCCCGTGTAAAAATTTTTTTATGTAGGGGTAAAAATATTAGAGTTGATTTTTAAGTGTAAAAGTTACACTACAAAATACACTAGGTAGAAAAACTTAATTCGAGTGTTTATTACCCCTTAATGTGTTAAATATTGACAAAATGTACACTTCAGTGCATGCCAATTTCTTTGTCTGTTTTGATGTTACTAAGAGCTCTTTTTTCTTTACACTACTAGTGCACATTCTATCACAATTAAAGTTAAATTACACCAATAGTGGTAAAATAGACTGAAAAAACTGGTAATAACCGAAATGCGTTTTAAAATGTTTGGTTGGTACCTAAATACCTACGCAGTGCATATCCGGAGATACCGCGTTGTGTAAGTGTGGCATTTTTGTTCAGTTAGATTTTAAGTACGGTGAATCCATAAGGGGACATTCTTATTTTTTGGTAAGAATTATACTTCCTTTTTCTTTAAGCCTTAATACTCAATAAATACCAATATGTTAAAAGGCTGTCCATACCCGACCTATATTATATATCAATAATTTACGGCAGTAGGTCGGGTACTTATAACACTAATAATATAAATACATACACACTTGATTTACTTTTTATTTTCAAACGCAATGGTTGTTATATTAACCTATACCTAAATTTTCATTAATATTATGGAAAATTTGTACACGTGTGGTAAATCCCCGAAATACAGCCGCCTGACGCCTCTCTACCAATGTGATCACCCATTTTTTATAACAGAAAAATGGATTACTGATGAATTCTCAAGATAATTCATTGCTTACAAGTTGACAGCCAGTAAAACATTGCATTGATATAAAACTTTTACGCTTTAAGGAACCATTTTGCTTAAGCCAGCCATACGACTCAAATATAAAATTATATTTGAAAAGGCACCCATTTTGATAATTGTCATAGATTTTTGTTTCAAATAAACGTTTCTCTTTATTTACCTTTTCGTTTTATTAACTACCACCAATAGATTTTACTCAAATAATAGTGTTAATTTACACTAGAAGTTTGCACTAAAAGAGTAAAAGTACCTTTCTAAAATTGGAACTTTTCCAAAGTTGTGTTAATTTATACTGTGTAATGGATATATCTTATGAATCTAAATCTCATGTAGGAAATTAATAAAAACTTGATTCCGCATAATCAGAAACCCAAGATGATAAGACTGATAAAACTCAAATCCAGTACATCCTATCAATAACACTGTAACAGCTAAATCACTACTTAACATTACCATCTTAAATTACGCGAATGTTAATAGATAATATTCATAAGTACGTTGCAGGATAGTATTGCAGGAATTCGCGTCGATATAAATATAAGGTAAGAACTTTGCATAAATAATTAATTAACGATCCTGAACCTTTGTCTTATATTACTCAGCGTACCTGCAGATGAATCTTGAAGCATAAATCAATATTAGATGTTTATTCAAGCATTCATAAGTTATAAATGGAATTTAATGTTACTTTGGCTGTTTTATGTTCGTACGCAACACCTGAACTTAAACGGTTTTAATGCGAAAGCTCCTTTCTTCCATCGATAAATAAAATAAAAGGCCTATGGATCATGGGATAAATCCTAGATCTAGAACAATATCTATGAACTTATTGCCAAACGTTAAGAAGTTGAATGTGAATAAAAAGTAACACACTGTTATAAATGTTTTTAAAATTACTACATTTTTACCAAGCAGTTGCATAGTAAAATTACAAAATGTTGTATTTTATTGCAATTTGTTGTAATATTACATTATGTTATAGCCAAAGTACTAAACAGGTTCCAATTTTACAATGTTTTTGTTTTTGTCAGATACTTATATAGTTATTTTACAATTCTGTATTGTAGAATTAAATTTGAAATTTTGTAAAATTTCTATACATATTTGGAATTTAATTTTACTAAGATAATCAATAAAATTACCATCATATCATATCATTTTAATCATGTACACTGTTAATTTTTTTGTAAAATTACAATTGTTTTGCAAAACAAAGGATGAATAAAATTACAAATCAGTGTATACCAATAAAAAATAATAATACAATTTGAGTAATCTTCCAAGACATGTTGGGAAATCTACTAAAATAAGTTGTAATTTTTCAATCTATTTGTATAAATCCTAGACGCATTGTAATTTTACTAAACAGTTTGACAGTTTCTTATAAAAAGCATCTCAGATTCACATTAATTAAAAATTTACTATAATGTTATGTAAAATGTATGTACCGATTGCGGCAATCACGTGATGTTCTTACATCTCGCCTCGGTTGACTTAGGTGGACATTATATAAGCTCAGCTATCTTAACTTTTTGGTGTGTTCCAATTAGAGAGTTAAAAATACGGTTTTTTTCAAATGTGAAAAAAAACATGAAAAAACCTAGAAAAAAAAGTTTTTTTTTATTTTTTTCCAAATCCGCTAAGTACAATAAATAACATCAATCTTAAAAAATGAAAAAATTTTTCAAAATGAAATTTTGGGTAAAATGTATATTAATAATAAAGTGAAATGTAGAATAAATTACATTTTTCATTATTGAAAATTTTGACCGACACTAAAAAATCTGATTTCTTATTATTTGGTATTTTCCACATAAGAAACCAATAGCAATGTAAAACTTCTACACTAATAGAAAACATTAAAGGATAAAAAAAAATTCCAAATTTTTTGCGATTTTTCGGATAGCTGTATCTTCGTTAAAAATGGTCGTATTGGAGCCGTAAAAAAAGCAATTTGAAGCTTGAAGTTTTTAATTTTTAGATCAATCCTAACGAATACCGTAATAAAATGGCTTTCGTTTTTGGTCCACGGAATGTTCTGAGTTAACCACCAATGAACAAAATTTATTTAATGTTCTCCAAAAATTTGCTATTGTTTTTTTTGTCAATTCGGTTGTGGTGGCGCGTGCAAAGCGCGAGACTGTATTTACATTTACTAAATGTCATTTAGTGGCTAATTTTAGCCCATAAACTGAACTGGAAACATAAAAAATTAGGCAAATAGGACTAATCTTGAAAAAAAACCTAAAATATAAAAAAACCATTTGAAAAAAAACACAATGAAAAAAACGGACCGTTTTTTTTTGAAGTCGCATCTCTAGTTCCAATACACCAAATTGCTCGACATTGATAAGACCCAAAATAGGTCTATCTGTCTAGCTGTCTGTCTGTATTTGAATTTGGTGGAACGCACTTAAAACAAAAACTGGCGAGGCGAATGTTCAATATTTTTTTAATCTTTACAGTAATGGGTCGAAAAAGTTTCTTGAAGAAACTAAGAAAATTGCAGGTTTTTTTTTCGTAGTATAACACCATCATTCGTAAATTACTAAATATTTTTAGTGTAATTTGTTGTACAAAATAACAATATTTGCATATTGCGAAACAAATTTTCTTCAGTTCAGTAAAATTGTAAAATATATTTTGTAATTTTCTTAAACTGAGTTGAAATGAATTGTATAGTATAATTACAATACACCATTTTAAAATTATTAAACATATTTACCTAGTATTTTTTTTAGCAAAATTACAATACGTTTTGTAATTTTCCCAAATTGAGTTGTAATGAATCGTGTAGTGAATTTACAAAACTAAGTTTTATTATTACTATATTGTGGTGCGTAAAAACTTCCTAAACATGTTTAGTACAACTACAATAGTAATTTTTAACAGTGCACTAGTCAGTAGCCATTTCACATTAGGGTTGATAAACATTGTTTTGGGGAAAGATCTATTTGAGAAATATTATGGTTCTCGTATATCCTCCAGCAAAATATTATTAGAAAAAAATAATCATTCTCCACAGGAGGCCAATCCAAGTTCGTTTTAATTACAGGTGTTTATTTTAAGTTATAATTATTCATAAAGTAGCTGAACCAACTAAAACTCTCTACATGTGTAACAAAATTTCCCAACATGTTTTTGGCGTTTCGTAATGATTTTTATTAATTATTTAACTAAAAGAACCGGGCTGTAATGTAAGCAAAGAAGAGAGAAAAAGGAAGAGAAGGCAAGAGAGTTCAAAAGGTCTAGAAACGGGCTCCACTTGTCAAGTAGCGAAAACTTATCTCTTTAGGGGGTCCGTTCGAAAATAAAAGCAGCCGTTAAAGTATTCTAGGCCCCGTCATCTTCTATTACCGCTCGCCTCAACATAAATCATAAAATAACACGGCCATCGATGTGTATCTGATGAAAAATTGATGCAGAAATTAACGTATCGATTTCATAACTAATATCTTGTTTGTGTACTTTTATCTTTACAAATTATCATACATAAATAAAAATATGATATTTATCAAAAGTACACTGAAAAAAATAATCTCTTAAAAGAAATGAAAATCACTTGATCAAAAGATTTGCGCTTTTAAATAGGGCCAAGAGCAATATTTCTTAATCCAAA